AGGACGTCCCTGTGGTGCCAGGAAATCAGGGGCACAGTGGGGTCCTCTGCTCAGGGCTTCCTGGCCTGCATGCCCAGTCTGGCTGCAGGACAGACCCACTAGTGTCCTGGCCCCCGTGCACAGCCCCATGGCAGCATCACCAACCCCTCCCCCCCGGCCCCACTGACTACAAACCTCAAAGGGCAGCAGGGTGCACTGGACACAGCAGGCCCGCTGCCCTGGCCAAGTCTCTGACCAAGGTGGGGTCACGTGGTCAGGAACAGGGCGCTCCCGGGAAGGAGCTTTCTTCTCCTTGCTCAGCTCTCCTTGCTGCCCCACCTCCCTCCCACCTGGGGAGGGGACGCCAGTTGGGTGCACTGGATGGCATTTTCGCTGCTGACTGGAACCCCACGACTTGCACAATTCAGAGGGGAAAGGTCATCTGGATCAGGGCTTAAGGCTCAGCCCATGGCCAGCGGCTGCATCGCCCTGGGCTGGAGCTGAGGCAGAGCTTCACAGCAGCTGGACTGTGTGGTGGAGGAAGCCACTCGGCTCCTGGCTGCTGGACGGATCCACTGATGAGGTCAGAGTCCCCATGACCCAACCACCATCCCAAAGGCCCCGCCACTGGACACTGCTGCACCAGGGACCAAACCATCACACCAGCCCTGGCTAGAGGTGGAAGTGGACATGGCTGGGTGGGCCTGGAGAAAAGCTTTTACAAGAGAACAGAAGTAACCTTCCTAGTAAAAGTAACCCTTCCTAGTTCCTTCTTCCTCCTGCCTGGAATGTGCATGTGATGGCTGGGGCTTGCTCGGCCATACTCTAGAATGAGGACAAGTACGAGACAGTGGCGCCTGGGCTGCCGATGGCATCATGAAGTCTTGCACTGACACATCCACAGATGAGCTTCACGTGGGATGGGTCTCCTCTCTCCTGCAGCACGTGGCAGGGGCTGGACAAAGACCACACCAGAACAGATGGCTGAATGAATGGGGTGGAGCTAGACATGGCCCTGCCAAGGGACAGGCTTGGGCAGGAGCTGGGCCACAACTGGGCAGGCCAGGCTGCTCCAGTCAGATCCTGGGCCACGTGCCAGAGACGCCAGGGTCCCAGGAGGTGAGAAGAAAGGCTGTAGAGATCCTTCCTGCAGAGTGAGCAGAGGCCTGCCCTGTGCCCAGCCCCCAGTCACGCCTCATCAGGTAATGAGAACCGGCTCCCGAAGAGACCACCGCCTCTCCAGAAAACTCAGACACCAAACGACAAGAAGGCTTGTGGCTCACTCCAGGAGGTGCAGTGGGGGTCGTGCCCCGGCAGTCCTGACATGGGTCCTGCCTGTCACCTACTGAGGTGACTGGGGGACACCAGGGGAATCAGGATCCCTCCATGAAACCATCTCTCTCCGGATGAGAAACCAAGGTGCCTGGAGGCCTGTGTATGCGCGTCTGCAGGTGTGTGCAGTATCTGGTGCGCACGTGGTATGGGTGTACCTCACTTGCCCTGGGTCAAGGGCGGAAGGCCTGGGGGTAGGCCCACGGGCAGGGAGCAGCCCCACACCTAGCACCTGGTTCCCCAGGTCTAGTGGGCCTGGTGGAAGCCTCCCCTCGGGCCTCGTCTCCCCACCAGGGAGGACAAGCCCCACCCCTGGGCTTCCCAGCCAGGGATGCCCGTCTCTGGCTCCAGAGCCTGTTTCTGGTGATGTGGACAAGAGGGATGAGGCCCCAGGCCCCAAAAGGCCTTGCAGGGACCCCAAAGCCTCTGCATCTGCTCCTTCAGGAAGAAACGCCTGGATTCAGAAACACAAGTGACTGCTCATTTTTCTCCGAGTGACATCCTACAAAATTCTGACATTTCAATTTCAGTCTTAAGGAAGACTCAAACACAACCCAGCTCCAGGAGTGGGCCTGAAATCACTGTTTTAACTCACATTATTTTTACACCTTTACAAGAAAAATACAGCCCAACTGGGACTCGTTGACTTTACAATAGGGCCAGGGTCTGTGGAGGAGCCAAGGCCAGATGCCCCAGGAGCAGGGCTTCAGAGGAAGGTAGCAGGGCCACCTCCTGCCATCTGCCAGCCTGCAGCTCCTCGCATCCTCAGAAACCCAAGCCAGGTCACAGGCTGCAGTGGAGAACACGCTGGAGGCTGGAGGCCCGGTATCCCGGGGAGTCACATGCAGGCAGGACCTGGGTGGTAGCCAGCACCTCCCAAGGTTTCGGATGATGTTATCACTGCACAAGGAACATTCCAGAAGCAACATGCCTGCTGTGTATTCAGCACTTGGCTCCCGAGCAGCACAGGAGCCTCCCAGCTTGGGAGCCGCGTCAGTGTAGGTGTCTTGCCCACCTCCAGCTGTGCTGGGGGCCACTGCCCACCTGCCCAGGACAAGTCTGGTGATGTCTCATTAGCCTTCACTCCATAGCCATGCTGTGGCCCAGGCTGGGGTGGACGAGCCAGAGACAGCCTCTTCTGAACAAAGCCTGTGTGGACAGGGTGGTCATGCCTCCGACCAACTTCAGTGTGGAAGTGTGAAGCCAGGCAGGCCAACCCCTCAGGGCCGGGGCACAGGCCCTGCTGCTTCCAGGCCACCCCCAGTGCAAGGTACAAGCTGCAGCAGTGCCACCTGGCCCCCCTCCACCTCCTCCAAGACCCCCTGCTGGGGTAACCCATCTGCTCCTCCTGGGTGCCCTAGTTGGCTCATGGCCCTGACAGCAGGGAAGGAGGCCAGGCTCTAGGTGGATGGAGACCGAGGGGGAGGGCTGCCGGGGACGTGGGAGCCAGGTGCCGGGCGCGGCCACCCAGCCCTGCACTCACTCACCCAGCAGCACCCCTTCTAGGTACCCTACAGTGCGGGTCTGTGCCCTCAGGAACCTTCAGGCACAGGCGTGCAGGTGCTCAACCTCAAAGAGAGAGTCCTGCCTCCCAGCCCAGCCCCTCTGGCAGGGCCCCTCCCCACAACCCCAAGCCCAGCTCTGCTGCACGCAGGTCCTCGCCTGCGTCACCAACACCTTTCTTCCCTGCCCCACCAAGCCATGTGTCACCAGGCAGGGATGGGGGCTTCTAGAACTGCAGGGCCCGCCGGACTGGTGGTGCTTGCCTGTAATCTCAAGAGGCTGAGGCAAGAGGATTAAAAGTTCCAGACCAGCCTCAGCCACTTAGTGAGACGTCATCTCAAAAAATAGGAAGGGCTGGGGTGCGGCTCAGTATAAAACGCCCCTGGGTTCCATCCATCCTCAGTACAAAAAAAAAAGTTCTGGTACCCAAGAAACCCCCAACCCAAGGACATCTTCAAATTTCATGTCCAAAGACCTCAGAATGTGACCAAATTTGGAAACGGGAGTCACTGCAGACCTGACTGGTTAAGATGAGACCACGAGGAGTGAGGCTGAGTGGTGTGCTAAGACCAGACAGACACAGGATATGGCTGGGGCCACGAGACACCCGGCTGTCAGCAACACCAGCAGCCAGAAGCAGAGGCGCTGTCCCCTGATGGCCATGCAGGGAGGACAGCCTGAGGACCCCAGGCCCTGTCCAGCCACAGGGAAACGTGCACTTCAGTGACATGGGTGTCCTGCGCCTGCCACGGCTGCCAGTGGGCACTGAACGCAGTTCCGACCTCAGCATCTGCCACGCACACACACGGGTGTACTGGGACGGGACCCTATCCTGGGCCAAGTGTCGTCATCTGCCATGGCAGTCCCTGGACGCTGTTCAGCAAGGGAGGCCCCCTGAGATGGGGGTGTGGAGGCAGAGCCCCAGGCTGCCTGAAGTCTGCCATGCTGCTCGTCAGGCAGCTGGTGACTGGGACATGGCTGCCAGAGCAGGGAGAAGGGCCTGCAGTGGGCAGAGGTTGCTTCCTGGGGATGGTGTGTCCCGGGTGCTGGGTCCTGGTCCCCTCACCTCCCTTCCCCAGACCTCCACAAGTTCCCTTCCATGGGCAGGTGCAGCCCAGCTCAGGACAAAGGGGTGCTGGGCAATGGCCTGGGCCTGCCTAGAGACCCCACTGTGTGGGCCCCTTCCTCCAGGGAGGCATCGTCAGCTGTCCCTTGCTGACAGAACCCTGGAAGAAGGAACTTGGAAGGAGGGGGCTCCTTGTGTCCCATCGTTTCACGCATGACCGCCTGGCTGCGCTCTGGGCCTGCTCACCTTGCAGTGGCCAGGGAGGTGACAGAGGAGAGGAGGGCCGGGGTCCTGACACTCCTTCAAAGGCCTGACCCCAGACCTGACCTCCTCCCACAGCACAGGCCTCTGGAAGACTAAGGTCCCACTCCAGCAGCACCCTGCCCGCCCTACAGGCGCCCACTCTCTAGGAGACATGTGCCTGCGCCTCCCCACTGTGCGTGGGCCAGTGCTGTGCGTGATGAGGCGTCCCAAGCAGGGTCTGCAGCCTCTGCCTGTTAGGGAGGCCCCATGGCCTTGCTGGGCCTCAGAGGGCTTTTATCTGCTATTTACCCTTTAAATCGGAACTCAGGGCTCCAGGGTCTATTCACGAAAACAACTGAACCGAGGCTTCTTCCCTTAACCTCACTGAAAACCTTCATATTCATCTTATGAAGACAGAGGTGACCCAGACCAGCTGCTGCAGCACGCTCAGACCCCAGCGCCCTCCACACGGGCGGCTGGGGAAGTGGTGGGCTACTTGGGGAAGAACAGCCTGACCTACCCTGCCCAGAGACCCTGCCTCCACGAGGTGCCCCAGCAGCACAACACTGGGTGACAGGTGCTCTGCTCCTGTGAAGAGGGAGGCAACACCCCACTCTGTTGGGCGACCGAGAGGCCCACGCAGGCAAGGGGGTGCCCGTTTAGCTCCTCTTCTGTTAAGTCTGTCCCATGTCCCAGGATCCTGGCTCCTATCCTTGTTCCCAGCAAGCTGGAGGCTGGCTTCACAGCCTGTGGTCTGCTCTCCCAAGTAGGACTCCCAAGGTAGCCCTGGTTTCCAGGCAGAAGACAGGGCCCCCAGCCCTGATAGGTGCATCACCAGAGGTGGCCACGGGCCAGGACAGCCAGGTTAGACAAAACATTGAAGACCAGGAAGCCAGGAGCTCTCTCTTAAAATAGCACATCATGAATACACCTTCCCCAGGAAGACACCTCGGGCTGTACCAACTATCACGAGGAAGACATGGCCACCTGCAACCCAGCCACCGAGCCCCACTGAGCTGTGTGCACCCTCACAGGCCTGTCCACAGTGCCCATCTGTTCTTGTCACGGACAGCCTCTGTGCAAGGCCATCTGTGCCCAAGTTCACAGAGCACAGCTTGCAGCCCACAGACGATGAGGCCCACGTAGGAGGGAGGGCGGCTGCTGAGGGAGAGCCCACGGGGTTGCACAGCACCGGGGACCTGTGGGCTGCGTCTGTGGAGGAGCTCACCAAGCAGGCGCTGTCCTTAGGCCTTCCCTGTGATCAGGGTCACCTGCAGTGAGATTCCTTCTCCAGATGTGCTGTGGCTGCAGCAGGGCATCGGTGGTGCCTCTTGGTGATGTCCAGGTGGTCTGAGTGCAGGCCTGGCAAACCCACTGGTGTCTACCACAGGAGCGTGGAGCCCAGCCTGGGGGTGTGGCTTGTCCTGAGGGGAGGTGGGGCAGCTGTCCCAGGGTCAGCCCAGCTGTAGGAAATGCAGGAGATTCCAAAGTGGAAGTGGACCCATGGGAAGGGCCTGGTGACGCATAGGAAGGAATCCATGAAGTCCTCCATTTGTTCTAAAGACTGCTTTCAAAGACCTGGGAGAGGATGTCCATCTAGGCTCAGGGGACAGTCAGAGGCAGATAGCCCTCTCTGGGCACCTCTGTCCATATGTGCGTCCCTCAGAGCTCACAGCACACCGCTGCCCTTGTTAGAGCTGGCTGCCACCTTCCAGCTGCATCTGGTGAGCCAGCTGCTGCCCTATGGCCAGCAGGGGGCTGGCTCTGTAGGCTGGGCTGGTCAGCAGCTCTTGAAACCGGGTCCTTTCTTCCTCACTGAAAGAATGGAGACCAGAGGTCAGCAGGTAGCAGGGCAGGAGTCCCCTTAGGCCCCGCAGAGAAGAGAGCCAAGGGCAAGCTCTCAATACCCCAGGACTGACCTCTCCCCAATCCCAGACACTGGAGTGGATACGTGGAACACAGTGCTCAGTTCCCAGGGAAACCCGACAGATGGGGAGTGACAGCCCTGGAGTCTCCTCACAGCCCTAGACCCACCTGTGGAATTTATAGTGGGGGTCGCCCAGCGTGCCCAGGAGGGGCCTGACGGGCTGCTGCTAAGGTAGGAACTGAGAATGGGGAGTGGCAACAGCACGCACACCCCAGACATGCTGCCTTACGTAAGAGGTGGCTTTCTCCCTGGCAAGCCCAAAATAGATGCACACGAGAGCCACGAGCAGGCGGGGAGAAACCAAGGACCTGGGTGCCATGGTGACAGGGTGGCACAGCCCCAGGCCACCCTGACCCCTACAGCCAGCCTGTTCTGCTTGGAGATGCACAAGACCACAGGGCCAGGCCCTCTCACCCTTTCTCCCTATCCCAGCATGGCCGTGCCACCCTACAGGAGAGCTCTGTACTCGGCACTTCAGCCAGGTGACCAGGGGGTGACAAAAGGAACCTAGGTGCAAATCCCACACGTGAAACCGAGGCTGGAGGCTCCAGGACAGGCCGCGTAGGGCTCACAGGGACAGCCTGAGTGAGTGCAGAGAGGGCCAAGCCCATCCTCTGGCCTTGCCCTGGAGGCCCAGGAGTTGCCAATTGTTAGCCGATGTCTCACCCTGCAGCAGAAGGCTGCCACCTTGGCCCAGGCAAGACCACTGGGGTGCTGGTCAGTCATAGCTAGGACTCAGTGATGGGCTCTCGGCCAGGACCTGGGCCACCCTGGCAGTGAGCTTGCTGGCCGGTGGCAAAGTCCTGAACTGGGTTCAGAAGTCTGGAGCCTCAGCCAAGGCCAAGGGCTGGCAAGGGAGCCAAGACTCCCTGAAAGGTGCTCGGAAGCACATGTGTGGGTGGAGGCTGCCTGGGCGCAGCACAGGGCTCCTGGTTCCTAGCAGCTGGGTTGACCCCCAGGGGCACACTGCACCACTGGGGGTGCCCATCCACCTGAGGACAGCCCCTTCCTCGGTCAGTGGCACCTGCCCCCAGGAGCACTGAGACGTGCCCAGCCAGTGCCCCTCAGGAACAGCTCTGCCTGAGCATGCAGGGGACGAAGCACATACTTCCCTCAGGTCTTGGGGTCAAGAAAACCAATTCTCTGGGTGATCTGAGCGCCCCATGTATACTGGTAAGGTACTATGGACACAAGGAGGAATCTAGAATTCTGGCTTCAAATCCAGTTAGTAAACAAGTTGCTTCCTCTTTCTCCCCTCAGATACTGCACACAAACAACAGGAAACCAAACTCAACCTAACGAGGCCAGGGGTCACAACCCTGAGTAGCCTCCAAAGGCAGTGCAGTCAACAGGGACAAGGGAGACTACTGGGCACCACACACACAAGGCTGGAGCTGGGTAAGTCCTAGGAAGCAACAGCCCTACCTAGCTACCCTGCAGAGGCAGCTGCCTGGGCAGGCTGGGCTCCGGGAGAGGCTGGGGCAGGGAGACGGACAGGGAGCAGCAGGCCACAGAGAGGGTTTTTGCCTACACAAACTGCCTTCAAAGCTGCTGATGAAGAAGTTGGTTCAAATCGGCACAAAATCTATAAGAAGACACAAACTCAGGGTCAGAAAGTATCCAGAGTGAAACGGGTTAGGGGAGGATGTGGGAGACAGGGAGGCCCAGCTGAGGCACAATGGTTCTAGAGAGGAGCCAGACACAGGAGGCCCCGGTTCAAGACAAGCTCCCCCCAGGAGCAACCAGAGGTCCTAACCATGCACAGGAGGCACAGGGGGCCTCAGCACACTGAAGAGCATTCCACACGAAGAAATGCCTCGGCAGAGTCACCCGAGACAAAGAATACAACTGCTTCTGAAGGGAGCAGAGACCTCACCACGGTGTGAAACGGGATGGACCCTGTTTCACTCAGGACAACACCAGGGCACCAACTTCTGCAGACAATGGGGTGCTGACCCTCCTGCTGGGTTCCTGGCCTCGCTAACAGGGGGCTAACTGCAGCCAGGGCACACGCCCCAGCAGGGGAAGGAAGGGACACAGCGTGGAGGGTGTGGCAGTCCCCTGGAACGCTGCCCTCGGCAGCTGGCTGCTGCACTCAGAACCTGCCTCCAGGACCCACTGCAGCTTCTCTCTTCAGGAAGAAGGAAGACAGCCACCCAGAGTCAGCATTAAGCAAGAGCAGAGCCTCGAGGGGCGAAGCCAGTACTCACAGCAGCTGCCGTCTCTGGGCTGCGCTCATCCGGCTGAGCTCGGCTGGTCTGGGTCTGCTGCTCACCCTGCTGTGGACAGAGAGGCCACAAAGTCAGCCCAGGACCACTTCACCCCACATCTGCCCTGAGTGTACATGGCTCCCAGTCTCTCGAACCAGACGGTGCAGTCCCCACGAATCTGCTCTGCTCAGCTCATGCAGGCCTAGCCTCACCACCATGTCCAGAGCTGACACCCACACAACTGGGACTTGTCCACCACTCAAAGCTCCCATGTGACACGGAAGAGGCGACCACCCAAGGGTGCATAGCTCCCGACTTTCACACTGAATCCCCCACCCACCAGGCCTGAGCCCAAGAGCACGCCATCCAGATGGACAGCCAGTAAAGACCCTGGGCCCAGGGGACACGTGAGACTGACTGCCTGGGCAGAGGGCCTGCTTGGGAAGTCTACACCACTGCTGCCACAACAGGCAAGTCCCCAACATCTGCCATCCTCTGACCTCTCTAGAGGGCCATGCTCTGTGACTGAGGAGTGCTCCACCTGCCACTCTGCTGTGATCCCCCTGCAGGAGCTGAGGGATGCTCCAGGAAGGGGAGACGCAGCCCACCACGAGGCTAGGGCACAGACCAGGCCACTGTGACATGCCACTTCCTGGGAAGCTTCAGACCACCTCAGGGGGCCAGACTGAGGGGCGGGTGGGAATGCCTAGCAGAGCTCCCACACCTCCTGGGGACAGTATCAGGCAGCTCTGCCCACCCTCCCTGTGGTCAGCGGGAGGGAAGACTGTGATGGGACATCCACTGGGCTTCTCCCCAGGGAGCTGCCAGGCAGAGCCAGACACCCCAGAGGGAGGTGGCCCAGAGAAAGGACAGAAAACCACCAAGCCCCAGGCCAGCACCTAAATTTAGCCTCCAGAACAGGAGACCTAATTTCTTATTCATGTTTCTTTTAAAATATGAATGAAAGACATTCAGTGTCTACTCAAAATAGTGCCTGAGCTCCAGCTTTCTACGACTCTAGCCCTGGCCGGGCTCCTGACCCAGAATACCAGGAGGCACCTCGAGTCCTCGCCCGCCTGCTCCTCCCTCCAGAGGCCCCAGGAACCATCCAATGAGGCAGAGGCAAGTGGGGCAAGGGGCAGTGAGGCCCAGTGCCTCTGGGGCCACCATGCAGTGGAGCTTCTCTCCCAGTGGACAAGCAGCTGGCTCCGCTGCCTCGCTGGCTGTGGGAGCCGCCTGTGGAGCCGCCTGCGGAGCCGCCTGTGAGGCTCAGAGTGGACTGGGCCTCCCCCACCAGCTCTCCAGACTCCACGGGGAGGGGATGGTTGGAAGCCCACCCAGGCCTCCCCGTACTCTGTCCTTGTGTCTTGACAACTCAGCTGGCTTTAGCCTCTACGCCTCTGCTATACAACTGTGACCAAGGAGTCCAGCAAGACCTTCCAGAGACCACCAAGCCGGAGAGTGAGCAGTCCTGAGCCAACACTGGCAACTGGTGGCAGAAGTGAGGCGTCTGGGGAACCACTCCCCACCAACGCCATGTGAACGGCACAGGCCGGCACACACGTGGGCGTCTCTCTGCCAGCTGACTCCCCAGGAGTGAGCGGCGCCCCAGTGCCAAACCTTGGCATCACCCCTCTAAGGCAAAGAACCAGGGCTCCTTGGAGAAGCAGCGGGTGGCGGGCCTGAGCAGGAAACACCTACTGATGCCTGCAAGAGAAGCACTCAGAAGCACCCACTGACCCCGCCCTGACACACAGGTCAGAGGGACCCAGGGGCTATGAGGAGGCTGGGACAGCCTCAGCAACAGAGGAGCAGCCCTGGGCTAGAGCCCAAGTACAAAATACACCTGTGAGTTCACACCGCCATTAAGCAAGCATCTGGCCAGCAAGTAAGTGGGGAACGGACAAAGCCCCCACTGTGGCAGAATCCCATGTCACTTCTACAGAATCCCATGTCCTCGGGGAACAGGAGCATCGCTCCCCACCTGAGCTTGGGCCATGCAGAGCCACCTGCTTCCAGAGAGCACCGAGGAAAGGGAGAGTCACTGCAGAGAGACCTGCTGAGCACACCTCCCCAGGTGGCCCAGGTGCCAAGCATCATGATATCCAGTTGGGTTGGTATGTGCGCCTGGTTGGATGTCATAAATGCAGCACGTCACCTCTGGGGCTTCCTCCTGACAACTCCACCCCCAACCCATGCACGGACACGTGAGAAGCATTCCATCTAAGGACATCTAAGATGTGCCTGACTTGCCCCCTCAGAACTTTCAAGGTCGAAGCCAAGGACAGTGAGAGCCTCACAGCCAGGAGGAGGCTTCGAGACACGAGGGCCAAGTGTCACATGCTGCCCATGGGGTCCTGGGTAGAGGGGAGGACTTCAGGAAGTATCATTTGAAGTTTACTATACTCTGGCACACCGCAGTCCCTCCATCCCGAGATGGCAGCGTCCCAGAGGGGGCCGCTAACAGGCAGCTGGGGGCGAGGTCAACAGGCTGAGCTCTGCCACCGGCCTGAAGCTGCTTTCAAGTGGACAGTCTTCCAATGGCTGCCCACAGCCAAGATGCCCTGACACCTGGGGTGCCCAGGAGGAGGGCAGGGACCCCAATGAAGAGGAGGCTGAGCAGGAGGGATTGCCCCTCCCACAAGCAGCAGCCCAGAGCAGCCCAGGCTAGCCCAGGCCAGCCCAGCCTACTTGGAGCGCCACACACCCCCTCCTCCCTGGGCAGGCGGCCTGTTTACACAGCCTTCTCCCTGCTGGGAGCCAAGCACATTTTTCAGATGAGAAAACTGAAAAGAGGGAAGGGACCCTTGGCCAGGGTCACATTGTTTGCTCCAGAACCAGGAATGGAATCTGTACTGCTGGCACTGTCCAACATCCAGTCTCGACCCGGTGGCAGCTCCTCGTCTGGACCGAATGTTCTGGGAGCGTCTGTGCCGGGAAGCCGGCCTGTGACCATCTGGCCCCGTGGCATGTCACCACCAGCCCTGTGGAAGGGCAATCCCTCATCTAACTGCACACAGCCCGTTTCTCCTCAGATGGAAATCCAGTAGGAGAAAGAATTATTTTTAAAGAAGCAAAATTAGAAATGACAGAAATAAATGATGAAAGTCCAGCAACTGTGACAGAACAAAATGCCCCTGACGCTTCCCATCTGTCCCCTCAAGCCCCTGTCAACTGGTGCCCAGGCCAGACCTGCCCTGCGCCTGTCTTCTCTTTACTGCCCGATGTGGATGAGCTGGGCTCTGTGCACTGAGCTTGCAGGCGGGTTCCACACTCCTGCCGGGCACCCCTGGCCCAGTAACGAGGAGTGCCTGTCCCCCGGGGTTGCCCTCTGCAGGAAGTGGAGGAGCCCTGTGGTTGAAGGTCCATGCAGTAGTGCCAGGAGGTGAGGCAGCTGGGCCCTAGTCTGCGTGGCGGCCTGGTGCTCACTGCAGGCAGGGGGCTGCCCTGGAAGGGTGCCTCCTCCCTGCGCCCTCCCCTTCCCCTCTGCTCGCTGGCTGCCTGAACAGAGCAGCGCTCCTCCACCATGCCCTTCCATCACCCTGTCCTGCCTCTCCTCAGGCCCAGAGGAAAGGAGTCAGCCGTCTACCAACTGAGACCCCGAAAATCAAACTGAACATTTCTTCCTGTTATTCTTGTCAAGTATTTTGATCACAGGGACTAAACCAGGGAGGGAGAGTGCCGTCAGGTGGCTGGCGAAGGTCAACTGGGCAATGGCCGCTGTGAGAGCAGCGGGAAGAGCAGGGAGATGCTCGTCATCTGTGGAGGCCCTGAGCAGGCTCAGGCACACATGCAGGGGCAGCTGAGAGAAGGCTGAGGCCGACAGTGGGACCAGCTGCCACTGAGCCAGGAGTGACAGCAGCATGAGAAAGGAGCTGTCTGCAGAGCTGGCCAGGTCACCTGCCGGGGGGGGACCACACTGGCTCAAGGCTTCTGCACAGTGTGAGGGTCCCGGGGCAAGCACGGCTGCAGCACTGGTTCGTGGCCCCTGGCCCCCTTTCTCCCCATGGGACACATATCCTCTGGCCACAGCTCTGGAAGTGTGCTGGACACTCACCCTCTGGCTTGCTGCCGCCTGCCTGCCTCCAGCTCTTGAAGCTCGGGCAGGGCGTCCCTCAGGGGGTGCAGGTCCCCCACCACAGCCGTGGCCCTGCGTCTCCGCTCCTCCTTGAGCTTGTGCTCTGCCAGCTTTATGGCTTCAATTTCTGAGGCAGAGGAGACAGGAGTTAGGTACAGAGTAGATGCCAAAGTACAAGACACAGCTCAGAGCCATTGGTGGCTGCCCATGGTGACATACCCAGAGGGGCCCAGACGCAGGCCCACCAGCGCCTGATCCCGGCTCTGCCTCCCCCGTGCAGGCAGACAGTACCCCCACCTCCCGCTGTCCCCAGCACCCCACTCCTGAGGACTGGGGGAAGGCCGGCTCTGAGTTATTTTTTCCCCTTAAGCACAGAGGCACATTGTTTAATTAGAGGGCTGATTATGAGCCTGGAGCTGTGGCAGCGAGGACTGAGCTTCCTCTGCACAGAGAGGCTGGTGCAGGGCTTGGGCACGGGGTTGGAGAGTGGGCACAGAGGTACAAACATGCCCTGGGCTTAGCACCTACAGGCTGCTAACGGGAGAGCTGCGCTCCAGGCAACTAGGGCTGGCGTGGCGCCCCGCTGAGCCCTCAGGAGGGAGAAAGAGCCCCATGTGGGGAGGGGGGTAAACAGTATAAGCTGCGCAACACAGCAGAGAGGGGAGGGCCCAGAGGAAAGGCCCAAGGGGGCAGAGGGCCAGAGACACAAAGGGGAGGTGCAGGCTCTACCCTGTACATGGACTGCAGAGGGCGGAGGCAGAAGGCACAGCCTTAGGGTCTGATGTTCACCTTCACAACCACCATGAAGATGCGTTCCAACGCGACACCTGCCTGCAAGTGGCTGCTGGGAAGGGTGCAGATCCTGGACAAAAACCTCCTTCCCAGGTGCTGCAGCAGACAAGGCCCTGTCACTCAGCCCTTCACCAAAACCAGTCTCTCTTTGTGGGAGCCAACACACCCTGGAGAGCTGGACTGGCCCTGGGTGGAAGGAGGGCAGCGAGCAGGCAGGGCTGCTCCAGGGCAAGGTCCCTTGGGGCTGCAGACCCCAGAACCAGGACAGCTCGGCAGAGGCCTGCTGTGCCCCTGAAGACAGACACAAAGCCCACACGTCAGCTATAGGAGTGCCCAACTGGGTAATGCACGGCATGCAAGGACGCTCAGTGACAGGGAGGTGGCGACTCCCACGGCCCCAACTGAGGAGGGACCAACGGGGAGAAGCCTGCCCCTGCAAGGAGTGCCAGGAACAGAGCCGGTGAACTTCACCAACCATGGTAAAGGGTCAGTAATGCCACCAACAGAAGGAGCTCCTCAGAGGAAGCCCTGCTAAAAGCCCCAAGCAAGCATCAGAGGACTCCAGGATGAGCCCAGTGCAGGGGCAGGAGACTGCGGCCTCATGGCACTCCCACCTGGAGGCTCCTGGCTCAAGACAGACAGACAGACAGACGGTGTGGGGAGTTAGCATAGCCAGTGGCCGTGTGGGCAGGGCCTCCTGTGCTCTTCTGATTAACCATGATGTGATGCAGCCTAAGTAACAGGATGTTAAGCAGACCCTGAAGCTCATTCTCAATGTTATTTTTTTAAAAAGACTCAATGCATAAGAATGGTCAAGCACTGTTTTAAACAGAACAGGCAGCAAGAGAGCAGGACCGCTGCATCTCAGAGCGGGTTGGAAACAGCGCCTGCAGCAGGTGGCAGGAGCGTGAGCCCTCGGGCCAGCAGAGAGCAGCAGAGCTGCCCCACCTCCTCCGTCACACAGCTCCTAAGGTCAGTTACAGGTTAAGCAAAACACCACAGATGAGCAAAGAGGAACCAAAGGCCACTACCACAGTGAGAGCTGCGGACTTCACCAGACACCAAGGGAAAGAAACCAAAACTATGGGGACACGGCTCGCCTATGGGACTGGCGAACTCCAACAAGTGACTAATGACCAGCGTGAGGACAGCAGGAGCAGCAGTGGGTGTGCACGGCCAAGGGGAGTCAGGTGGAACCCAGCAAACTCTCAAGGGCCACCATCCTCTGGCACCCCCACCCAGGGGCACGAGGACCACAGCCCTGACAATCTGGCGACATGCTGCAGGTGTCAGTAGTGGGAGTGAGCAAAGCAGAGCAAAGGGATAGAAGGTGACGGGGGAGGCTGGGCACCCAGGAGGAATGGGAAGGGCAGGGGACACGAGCTGATCCTCAGGGCTACAGAACAAGTCAGTGTAACCCAAGGACAGGAGCAGAGCCACGTACTGACGGGAGTTCAACACATCTCAACCCAGGGAAAATCACCACCCACAGAAAACATGCATTCCCAAAGACCCTAGGCCCCACAGAATAGCTCCCCGGCCTGACATGTAATGTCACTGAGATCACAGGGTACAAGAGAAATGTAAAAAAATCAATCAAAGATTTTAAAAATCAGTAATACTTTTATATACTAGAAGTGAGAGAAAATTCCATTTAGAATAGCATTGAAAACTATAAAATACCAAAATAAGTTTATCTAAAGCAAACACACACACAAAACCCTTCTATATTGAAAACTACATAACACTGGTGATTATTAAAGAAAATCTAAATAAATGTTGAAATATACCATGTTCATGGACCTGCAGAGCCAAAACGGCTGCAAGGGCGATGCTCCTCAAACTGATGTGTAGTGCAGATTCAATGCGATCCCCATCATAACTGCCGCTGCTGTTCTTAAAGAAAGTGATGTGCGAATGGTCAAAATTATACGGAAATGCAAAGAACCAAGAATACCAAGAGCCACTGAGATGGAGGACGTGTGCGCGTCTGCCTTCCAGCCTCACCTGCGGCTGCCACAACCCAGACAGGATGAGCTTGTCAAGGTGCAGTTCAGACCCACCCCAGAGGCCTCCTGGATGCCACAACCAGCCAGTGAAGAGAGCCTTCATCAGGAATGGTGGGCAATAACTGCACAGCCCACACAGGTCTGCAAAGGGAAGGAGAGCGGCCCTCCCACTGACCCACGGCAGACAACACGAATGCAGATCCAGACCACACAACTTTCAAAAGAAAGCATCCTCACGACCCAGGGTTAGGCTAAGTTTTCTCAAGTAGGACACACACACCATAACCACGTAAGAAAATATAGAAGAAACTTCTCAAAACAAACTCCTGTCATCAAAGAATCTTTTTTTCTAAGAAAACAAACGGGCAAGCCATGGTCTACACGAAAATATTTGTGAACTCACAAATGACCAAGGACTGGTCCCCAGGACTTATAAAGAATGTTTACAGCTCAATAATAAGAAGGCAAAGGGCCTCAAGAAAAATGTAAGTCACTGAAGACAAAGCACATGAAAAGTCTCTGCCACAGCGTGAGGACTAACTGCACCATGACCCCAGGCCAGGGTCGCCAAGACAGCCAGGCCTGGAGACACACACCTCCAAGGCTGCAGGCCACCACAACTCTCACACAATGCCGCTGGAGGTGCAAGTGCACAACTACTTCAGAAATATGTCTGGCAGCTGCTTGTAACACTAAACACACACCTACCCTATGACCCCACATTCTATTCCTAAGTATTTACACAAGAGCAACAAAAACATGTCCACAGAAAAGAGTTGAAAAGAATGTTCATTACAGTCTTATTCACAGTGGCCAAAAATGGAAAAATCCAGGCGCCCACAAACAGAAGACTGGGCCACAGAGATGCTTCTTTGCCATGAGGGGCATGGGCTACCGCATTGGGCAACCTGGCAGGAAGACAGACACAGAGCACATTCCACAGGACTTGGCTCACAGGAGTCACCAAACCTGGCCTTCAGACAATCACAGCTGACCACTACGCTCCCTCTGGCAGCTAGGAAGGGAGATATCCTGAAGGGAAGGGATCTCTGGGTGATGGGAAAGGTCAGTGCTCTGAAGGGGACTTCAGCTGCAAGTGTTCTGACCTGTTAGACACCAGGGTTCATTGTACGTAAACACAGTCTTCAAAGGGGGGGCAGGGGAGGAAGTCTCCATAAACCAACCGAACTCCAGCAGAATTATTTGGTGTGAAGCCTACTGAAGCCTGCAACCTTCTTTGGAATCATTTAAAAATTGTTGATGGATGGACAGGAAAGGATAAATAGTTACATAATAAAGACAGGGTTAGTTGTAAAATGCATGTGGTGAGTACAAGGGTGTTCACTATAAATTCTTCTCACTTTTCTGAATCAAGTTTTTGAAATTAAAAAAAAAAAAAAATACTAAGTAAAAACAACTTGGGAGATGTAGCTGTAGCTGCATCCAGAGGCCAACGTACAGCCTTTCGTTGCTAATGAAAACAGAGGAACTAGGTCATTCAAACAAATCTAAGGAAAGCCAGCACAGGAGATTAATAAAACAGACAGTCATTTGGAAAACAAGAATAGGAATGACAATTACAAATTTTCTGTATTGGACAAGATAAAAGGTCACCAATCAGAAATGGTGGGGGTGCAAAGAAAGACTGATGGAGAGAACATGGCAGATGTTTAGGAACAGGAAGCACACACATCCTCAACTCAACATCAAGGTTCAGAGCTGACTTGGTTATTTCAGGGGAAGACATGAGCAGCAAAAATCAACTCCAAGACAACAAAACAACCTGGCACAGAGATGAAAACTTACACATCCCAAATATGTGTAAGAACTACAGTCCCGCTGGGCACAGTGGCCACACCTGTAATCCCAGCAACTCCGCAGGTTGAGGCAGGAGGATCCAAGTTCAAAGCCAAGCTTGGTAACTTAGTGAGACTGTCTCAAAATTTAAAAAATAAAAAGGGCTGGGATGTGGCTCAGTGGTTAAGTGCCTCTGAGTTCAATTCCCAGTACCAAAAATAAAAAAAAAAAAACATACCCCAGAAATGTTCAAGTCTGAATGCCCAGGATCCATTAACTTTTACCTTACTAAGAGTGTTTTGTACAACTTTGTGATAAGGAATTGTGAAAAAGAAAATGAAGGAATGAATCATTTTTTTTAAAACATACAAAAAGTGACAGAAAACAAGAAATCAATTATGGAAGAAACTGAAAACTGCCCCTAGCACTGCCTCTGAAAAACATGACACTTTCTTTAAAATCTTCAAGAGTAACTTGATCCATATTTCAACATGTGAGAATATGAAGAACAAGTTCCAAATTAATTTTACAAGGTTGGCAGAATAACACTAAAAACATAACTAATAAAAAATCACAAACAATTTTTGGTATTTTTCCAAGAAAGAAGAAAATCTTTAGAAAAACATTAGCAAGTATCCAGCATCACAAATAACTACATTTTCCAAACCAAAAGGAGCAAGGAGAGAGGCATGGCCTGCTGGAGAGGTCTAGCTGGATGGAGCAGAGCCGCCTCCCAGAGGCCCTGGAGGAGGACCCAGACACGGGTCCTCTTGACCAACAAGGGGACAAGCACGGCAGCTTTCCAAAGGAGCAGATCCTGACCCTCGGGGGCTCACAAGAGGTGGGCAGCTGCACCCCAATCCAGGACAGCCCACTGCACTCTGCTGTGTAACCAGGCCTGCCTAACGCCCTCCAGCACCTCGATGGTCAGCGGGCCACACCAGTGGTCATGAATGCAGCTGAAGGATCCCCCTTGGGTGTCTGCCTCTGGTTCCTGGTGCCCCCAAGTGGGGAGTACAGCTGGTGCCCAGTTATGGCAGAGGTGCCGCCAGCTGAGGAGAGCAAGGCAGGTGTGGGTGCCCAGCTGATGGGGCATAGACTTACTCTGCAGCCATCGCTCCCTACGCAGCCTCAGCTTCTCCTTCTTGGGCAAAATGGCCTTTGCCTCAGCACCTGAGGAGAGAGAGTAAGTGGGTGAGTAACGAACGTCCAAGACAGTGTTTCTGCAGAAGCAGGCAGCCCAGAGCTCCCACAGGGAGGCTGAAGAGCCTGAAGTCGAGGCCAGGGCAGCAGTGCCCCACACCCAGGCCGCTGTGACTCACAGCAGCTGGGCCATGCAAGCCCTCAACTTCCATAGGCTCCGTGTGGCACTGGGGACAGTTTATAGTGTGCCAGCACAACCAGGTAGCTCTTTAAGGCAACAGCCACAGACCCCTGGACTTCCCCCAGAAAGCCCAGGCCATTACTAACAAGAAAGCCTTCCCTTTCTCTGACCCACCCCAAGCTGACCTTCAGGACTGACTACAGGACAGCCACACACTAAGAGGCTAGTGGACAGCTTGCAGGGAGGAACCTGAACTGGGCAGAAGCCTGTGGACGGGTAGCGGGCTCTCCAAGGAGATATCCCCCTGAGAACACAAGTGTTCTTCCAGCGTGGACAGGAAGGTAGTTACATCCAGTGTCTGCTCTTGGCTGTACCTCAAGGATGTGTGCCAGGGACTGGAGGAACACCGTCTGTTGGTCCCATAGCACTGGGGTTCCTGGGACTCCATCTAGGAAAGCTCTCAGCCCACACCACAGCCCCAGTGAAGGAAGAAAAGAAGGATTCCCCGTGGGGTGGGGTGGGGTGGGGTGGGGTGGTGCGAAGGCAGCCAAGCTGGACACCTTCACTGTCAGGGACCCCCAGTGCTGGCCTTGTGCCCACTGGCCCCATCTAGTCTGAGGATGACGGAGTACTCAGCTGTCATTTGGCTGCTTGTCCCTTCTATAACCAGGCTGACCACATTCAAACTAAGAGCCTCCCGCACCCCAGGTCTTCTCCACGTGCTGCACCTCAGAGAATTCTGGAGGAGCACACTGTCCCAGGGCGGGGCAGCAGTGGGAGTGGGGCGTGCTCCTCTAAGCTCAGACAAGCGAACAGCCTGGGCCCCACAGATGCGTCAGTCCAGCGCCAGGTCTGAAGCCCTGCCAGCCACTTCTGAAGGCGATCCACTCAGCACAGCTTCACCTGGCTCCAGGGCAGGGGAAACAAGCACAAGCTGCACCCAACAGGGAGGGCCGCTGGTCCCCTGCACAGCAGAAGCCACCGCCACACTGCAGGGCCACAGAGCCTGGGCCAGGGCAGCTGTGCCCTCATTCAGGGAAATGAGGAAAGCTGGAGCAGTGTGTGCCAAGCTACAGACAAAGGCCCAGACCAGCTCCCCGTCAAGGGCTGCCAAGCACCCTGTGCCCTGTCACTGACCGACCTCCCACCCTACCACCAGGGTGGCCCTGAACTTGGGATCCTCCTGCCTCAGACTCTGGGTTGCTGGGCGTACAGGAATGCACCACTGCACGCGGCTCTGACTGGTGTTCTTAAAACATCAGGTTACAGGCATAGAAGACGACCCTGTGAGAAGACACTGTCTACACGCTCAGGAGAGAAACCAGGCCTAGGAGACGCCCACCTCCTCAGGAAAGATGCAGCCAGATACAGGCCTTGTTCCCCAAGGCCCACACTGCCACCACCAATCACCTGTGAAGGCAGACGGCCACTCTGTGAGCTCAAGTTGACCACCCGAAGCCACTCAGAACTGGCTGCACTTCAGCTAGGAAACCGATGAGCTGGGTGTGGTGCTGCATGCCTGTAATCACAGCTACTCAGGAGGCTGAGGCCCTCAGCAACTTAGTGAGACCCTACCTCAAAAATAAATAGGGCTGGGATGTAGCTCAGAAGTAAAACACTCCTGTGTTAAATTCCCAGTATCAAAAAAAAAAAAAAGAATGTGACAGACCGGCCCCACTTCCCAAATGGGAAAACTGAGGCCCAAAAGGGGCAGTAACATGTCCAGGGTCACAGGGAACTGTTGTGGACGAGGACCTCAGTGCAATGTGACAGCTGGGCCCTGATCAGAGAGGTAGAGCAGTCTCAGTCTGGGCTGAGTGGAGACTTCACCTGTGCGCAGGGGACCACATTGCTGAAGGGATCCTGGGAATATGGGATCTGGAAGTTTAGTCCCCCAAATAAACCAGGACTCAAGATGTGGTCATAGGTGTAGCTTCACTGAGCTACCAGAAAGGGCACTAGGCCTCCAGGTGCAGGGTGTGGGACTTTCCAGGCCCATCATGCCCATGTGCCCCCAATGCACAGACCTGGGGCAGGACCAAAAATCATGTGCCCTGTGTGACCTCAGCTAATCCAGAAGTTAACTGATGGCTGGACACAGGTTGGACAAGCCAGCCCTGCAGAGGCCTGAGCAATGCCATTTGGAGCCTCAGGCAGCTCTAAGACTGGCACTGCAGACAGCCACAGCTCAGAGAGAGTCCAGATGGGCTATCGCCAGCAAGGGGACACTACCTGTGGCCAGTGCAGAACTTTCTGCTCCTGGGTGTAGAAGCAGGACTGAGGACAGAGGCCAGGGCCAAGCACTGGGCTGCAGGAGTTGGCGTGTAGGACAAGGGGCCCCTCACTTGTCACTGAACCCCTCACAGCCCGTGTGTCCTCAGGCAATGGGTAGAATGAACTTCTGCCGTGATGTGTAAGTTTATGCCATAAACCAGAGAGAATGGTCACCACCCCTGGAGAAGAAGACCACCCTACAGGGAGCCCCAGCAAAGTGCATCCCTGGCTCAGTCCTGCATGCAGGAAAAGGAGCCTCACTGGCTGGGCACAGTGTGGGTGGCGATGAGCTCATTGTGTGCAGCTCTCTGCCCAAGTCTGCTATAGAGCAGAGCAAACAGAGCTCCCTATGTCCTTGGCCTTGACTGATTGTCCCAAGGTGACGTGGTTGCAGCCTCAGGCCCACTCTCCCCAGAACACGTCTGTACAAGACTCTGTCTCCTGACTTCTGATGCATGCAGATTTTCCTGGCCAGCACAACAAAGAACTCACGATGTCTAAGGACAAACAATACAGAAGCAAGTTCCATCAAGCTACATCAGACATCACTTCAGGAACAGGCACGAGCCTCCATGCCCTGACTCCCAGGGGACTCAGGCCCTCTCCAGAGCTATGAGCCAGAGTTGGATAGTCTGTGTCCTTGCTTCCAGATATACCTGGAGCCAGCTTGCTCTCCTTCTCACTTACCCCTGCCCTCTCACTGCCTATCTGAAGGGAGAGGCTAGAACTGTGCACACCTCAGCCCAGGTGGAAGGGGGGCAGGGGCAGGAATGGTGAGGTGAAGGGCAGGCAGTGGGGCCCAGGGCTCCTCACAGCTGCTCCTCTGGCTGGTGGGACAACCTCCTAGTGCACCGCACCCCAGCACTGCAGCAGGTACAGGAGTGGGGTGGCAGACCTGTGCACATGCCAAGGAGGGTAGGGAGGGTGAGGTATCCACGTGGCTGGGCACAGCATCAAACCACAAGTAAGGTGATAACAGATCCTGAAGGTCGGGTGTCAGGGATGCTGTGGGGCTCAGGACACAGAGGGCGCGGAGGGCTGAGAGGAAAACAGGACTGGCCCAGCAAGGACAGTGCCGGAGAGAGGAGGACGGCAGCCCAAGCGGACTGCCCAGTGGTGGTGCACCCCAACCGCAGCAGGAATGGATTCTCTCTAGTGATCCCTGCAACTTTTCTGTAATTCTGAAATTACTTCAAAAGAAAAAAGAAGAATCTAAGACCAGTGGAAACTGACCCAGACAGTAACCTGCCTATGTCATGCTGAAATGAAGGAAGCTGGAGCAGGCCAGGTCAGGAATCCTGGCGAGGGCCCCTCTAGCCTGGCCCCTGGGAGCTCCCAAACATGCATCTCCATGGTACCCAGGAAACAGGACCCAAACAGGCCATTCCCGCAGAGCTGGGGTATGGAATGCTGACTGCAGAGGCTGCTTAGGGCCACTGCAGCAGCCCTGGGGGCTGCAGACTCTGTAGGCTGCAGATGCTTTGTGGGCCGACATCTGCCCCCACTTCCTTGGCCGTTGGACAGGCCCATAGTCACCTGGCAGACCAAACGCCCCCCCAAGGTTTATAAGGTTGCAACTCTTGACAGTCCTATGGGCACAAAGCCAGGCCCAGGCCCGCTCAGCAATAGGGCAGGTGTGTACACCCCACCATGAAGACAAGGGGCCTTGTGTGACGTCAGCTGGGCTATTTGATGTCTGAGCTCTGAACAAGGCACACAAAACAAGCAAACTGATTAGTGGCTGCTGCCAAGCACAGGCCACTCTGTGGAGCAACTGCAGCAGAAGCAGAAGCTGGGGTGCAGGCCCTGTCCTGACCATGTCCCTGACCAGCAACACTTCCGAAGAGGGACAAGGTGACAGCCTCGCAGGGCACATCATCCCAGCCTGAGCTTTACTAGAGAATCAGAACTCGGAGCAGTGCCAAGAGTCCAGGCAGGCCTGGCCCAATCTAAAGCACCATCTGACCCAACACAGCTTATTCTCAAGGACGAGCAAAACGCCCCAGAACTGTAGCAAATCAAGCCAGCATGAGCAGTCAACCGAGTGCTGGGAGCCCAGCCTCATAGCCTGCACCCTGCATGTATGCCAGGCCACCTCTGCACAGAGGCCCAGAGCTCCACCGTCCACACCACACCATGCCAGAGAAGCCAAGTTCCCAGTGTGTGTCAGCTGTCCATTCTGCCAAGACAAAATATTTGAAATAATGGCTTAAAGGAGGAAAGACTTATTTTGGCTCACAGATTCAGAGGCTCTAGTCATGATCCGTGCCCTTCACTTTGGGCCTACGGCAAGTGGACCATCACGGCAGCATGTGTGTGCTGGAGCACAGCTGTCACCTTGTGGCAGCAGGAAGGATGGAGGAGGAAGCTGGCTGGAGCTGGAGGTCAGTGGTGGAGCACTTGTCTCCTATGTGTGGGCCCTGGGTTCGATCCTCAGCACCACATAGAAATAAATACATAACATAAAGATATTGTGTCCATCTACAACTAAAAAAATATTAAAAAAGAGGGGGGGGGGGCGGAGAGGAGGAGGTCTCCAACATCCCTTCAAGGGCACGCCCCCAGTGATTGGCTT